TCCCTTCCCTTCCCTTCCCTTCCCTTCCCTTCCCTTCCCTTCCCTTCTCTTTTTTCTTCTCTTTTCTTTTCTTCTCTTTCTTTTCCCTTTTCCCTTCCCTTTTCCCTTCCCTTTCCCCTTCCCTTTTCCCTTATCTTATCTTTTTTTAATGCTCTGTTTCACCTGGGGGTCCTAGCTATCTTCAGATCATCTTATATTTGTTGGTGATCCCTTTCCCTGATACTTTTACCAGCAGACTCCCAACTTTTCTCTCTCTGAAATTTGCATCCTGCATAGTCTGCAGAAGTTTTAACAGCCCCCTGCTCCAATAGCTTGCTAATGTTACGCCTTATGGCCAGATCTCAAACCCTTCTGAGCCCTTAGACAAAGTTAAATAATTTTGCACTGGCCTGTGGCAAACAGTCATAGCATGCTGATGTATCCCATATCTGAACACTGAAGTAATGGACAACTTCTACAAAGCTGGACAAGCTTACTTAATCTCCCTTTTGCATCACTATTTCTTCAACCATGCTGACTTATTCCAAGGCTCAGTATGCAATGCCTTTCAAGCACATTTCACCAATGCACACATAGTCTGTTTTGAAGACTCATAGAATTTTTAATACCAGACCATTCAGCCCACTGAGATTACCTACTGAGCAATGACTACTTTGAATACTTACAGTATTGGACCTTTTCCACTTTCCTGAATGTTAACTAAGATCTTGTTCAAATGTGCCTTACGCTGCCCAGTTACAAGAGAGGATCTGGATTTAAACAGGTCCAGTGGCTCTCACTGTGCAGAATCTTTTCATAGAATCATAGAATCACAGAATGGCCTGGGTTGAAAAGGACCACAATGATCATCAAGTTTCAACCCCACTGCTATGTTCAGGGTTGCCAACCAGGCTATCCAGAGCCACATCCAGCCTGGACTTGAATGCCTCCAGGGATGGAGCATCCACAACCTCCTTGGGCAACCTGTTCCAGTGCGTCACCACCCTCTGTGTGAAAAACTTCCTCTTAATATCTAATCTAAACCTCCCCTGTCTCAGTTTAAAACCATTCCCTTCGTCCTATCACTATCCACCCTCATAAACCGCTGTTCTCCCTCCTGTTTATGCTTTCAAATACTGGAAGGCCACAACAAGGTCTCACCGGAACCTTATCTAAGCTAAACAATCCCAGTTCCCTCAACCTTTCCTCATAGCAGAAGTGTTTCAGCCCTCTGATCAGCTCAGTGCCCTCCTCTGGACCCGCTCCAAGAGCTCCACATTCTTCGTGTACTGGGTGCCCCAGGCGTGGATGCAGTACTTCAGATGGGACCTTACAAGATCTGAGCAGAGGGGGACAATCACCTCCCTCTCCCTGCTGGCCACCTCTTTTTTAATGCAGCCCAGAACACAGCTGTCCTTCTGGGCTGCAAGTGCACACTGCTGGCTCATGTCCAGTTTCACATCTGCCAAAACCCCCAAGTTCTTCTCCACAGGGCTGCTCTCAAGGTGATCTTCCCCCAGTTTGTATAAATTCAGTGGGATTGCCCCAACCCAAATGCAGCACCGTGCACTTGGGCTTGTTGAAATTTTTCTACACGCTCAATGAATATGTTTGCAGTGGTGTTGGTATTTTTGTTGTGGTAGATATATACCTGGTCTATGATGGCATAGCAAGATAAAATAGAGACAAATGATGGTTTTCAGTCTTAACAACTGTTAAGCAAGCATTAAGGTACATGTCCTTCTCTCCCTTTCCCATGGCACAGTGCTAATCCTGCTGATGCAGTTTGATCATCTTCATGTTATCTGTGACCGCGGAAATTTCCATTAGCTTCCATTAGCTTCTCAAGTTACTGTGAACTCTTAGAGGAGCAGTGCTTCCCCCCATCTCCCCCATCCAAAAAAAAAAAAGAAAAGAAAAGAAAAAAAAAGAAAACCATTCCCAAATGAGTTATAAAAAGGTGAGAACACCAACATGTGTCATCACAGTGGTCCCATGGCCAAGAAATTAACCTGTGTGCTCACCTTGTCTCCCATTCCTGAAGTCTCTCAGTGCTTTACAGTGAATTACAAACTTTCATACTGTAACTTATTCAGCTCTTTTATGGGAAATTGCATAATGCTGGGGTTTTCCACCCTGGATCACAACAAAACCAACAAAAAGTGCATTTTTTCTCACAGAATGCAGAAATGCTATTGGCATTTTCTCCCTAACCACAAACTTTTTTAGCCATTTCCACAGATACTGTATAAGATTTGGAAAAATTATGTTTGAAAAGTTTGCCTTGAAATGCATTAAAGGGAAATGTTCCTTCTGGGAAGGGATGGAAGGTAGGAATATTGATCCAGTTCTCCATGTTGTGTTTATTTCTCATCTTCAGAATAAAACTTGCTGAACAGTTTATATCTTGGGCTTTGCTCCCTGTTCTGCCAGGACAACTCAGGACCTGAAACAATATGATGTATCCAAACCCCAGACTTGGAGGCTCCACCTAATCTGCTCTCCACTACTGCCTTTCAGTAACTCCCATGCCCAGCAACTAAAAACTATGGCTCAATTCATAACTAAGCCCCTGGGAGACAGAAACTGAGTTGTTTTTGCACAGTATTTGGGAAAACAAACATGCTTTGTGCAAATGCAACCACGCCAGATTCCTGCCCGCCAGCCCAGGGAGCAGTAGGCATGAAAACATGGCACAAATTTTGAGGATGCTGAGCCAACACAGGTAGAAGCCCAACCTGCTGCCACTTGCATCTTGCCTGATGTTGCCCAACTCAATATGCATGACACAATCTGGATCTCAGCTCACAGAGCCAGACTTGAAGGAACAAACTGTGTCACATTCCCTATCCAAGCACCTTTGTGTGCTTGCAGTGCAGGCTGTTTTTTCTTTTCCATGGGACCAGCCTCAGGTCATAAACCTGAAGAGGAGATGAGGTATGGTTGGAGTCTGCTCATTGCAGTGATGTCACCTTCTCCAGGAACTCACTCCTCTGCAAATCCCAATCCAGGCTGGAGCTGGGCTTCCCCTCTGTTAAACCCAGGGGAATCCGCCCACAGGATCAAGAGGAGGTGGAGGGTGGAAAGAGATATAAAGCTACCCAGGAGCAGCTCAACCTTACTGCCCTTGTTGCACGGATCTACTCTCAGCATGAAGATGCCTCTGGTGGGGCTGCTGCTTGGCCTGGCATGCATAGAGTTGGGTAAGACTGCTGCATTCTTGACACTTTGGGAAATGCCTGGGAGGGGAGGGGAAAGGCAGCAATTCAGAAAAACCTGCTAGGACAAATGATGTCTTAATATATTTGGGAATATTAACAGATAGAGGAAAAGAGATATTCATTCCTGTTGGGGAGAACTGTGATGCCTCTCATAGAGAGCAGAGAGCAGACCCATGAGTGATCTTGTGTCTGCCATTCCCATTCACACTGGATCTCAGGGTGGAGGGGACTGACATCAGTTTTCGTAAAGCTAAGGGATGAAGGATACGTGGTACAGGGCAGCACAAGTGTGGGCGAGGTCTTTAGTCATCAGGATAGAAATGGGTGAGAGTACGACAAATAACTCCAGGAACTTTGTGAAGGTTAATGAAACCAATAGATTCCAGTCTTTAAAGTAATTTCAAGATGTTAGGTGATAGGTAGAAATAGGAAATTCCTTTGGGTCTGTCTGGGTATCACAGTCTGGGTATGGAATCTACTGGATCAGAGTCTCAGCCAAGCTGGTCGTAGAGTCCAGTTATTGTTATCGTCTCTCCCTCTCTGTGATCTACTGCAAATATCTCCACTTCTTTTTGAATGGGTCATTCTTAGAGAGACACAAACATTGTGGCTTTCACCCTCTATCCCATGGTCACCAGAAATCCTTCGTCAGCTTTGATGGGACTCTGACAGGTCTCAAAGGAAAAGCAGCCTGGGTAGGAATTGAACACTCTCAACGCCATGTGGGCATTACTACATGAAGATCATCGACAGGGCTGCCAGTGAAGATGGCTGAAAGGCTTACACCTTGCAAACATTATGCACAGAAGTGTTGAGTCTTGTCCTCAAGCTGCATTGTATTGTTTTATTCCTTTTATCCTCATTCTTCCTACCCTATATCTCTGAAGCAAACCCAAATCTGGTTGAATTCATTTCCTTACATGCTCTGGGTTGAACAACACACCATAGAGCTGAATCAAGAAAGGTACAGATACTTGTATATAGTTACTGTAATTTATTACATTTCAGTGCATGTATGGGTTTTTTTTTTAGTTTGTTTTATTTCTCCTTTCAAGACTCTTCACAGATGGTATATTACATTTCTGCTTCCATCCAGACTTGTTCTGGGTTTAATTGCATTGCTAAGGAGCTGGCAGGGAAGGTTTTCATCCACTGGTCTTGAAGAAATTTACAGGAGCAGAGTAGCATCAACACCCTTTGCTTTATAGTTGAGGCTGGGGCAGGCATGGCTTTTCTGGGATGATGCAGTGGGAAGCAACTGGGTTTGACAGCACTTGCAGCTCAGGAATATGCCTGTAACAAGTGGATCTATTCGACTTGTGTCTATAACTGACTACTTTTCTATATTTCGAGTGTTGTATTGGTTTAATCAAAGAAATGTTCATTAAATTTTAAGATTTACACAAGCTTTGAGATATAACAAGTCTTGAACCACATGAAGTAATACAGAAATTAGTGTTTGTTTCTTTAGAATATATGAATCGAATCTATACTTTGAACATGCTTGCACATGGCCCAAGAAAAATTACTAACCTTCCAGAATTTTAAAATGAAGGGGTAGAAAGTGTCATTGGACAATGATGGACAATGGTTTTTTGCCTTGTGTCAGGACATAGCACTCTCCTCAATGCTCAGTTCATCTCTTCTGCTCTTGTCCTGACAATTCTGGACATTCCTCTTCTACTACAGTCTTCCCACAAAAGAAATGTCTCCACATAGATGCAGTGAAATAATAAGAGGCAGAGAGATGATGGTTTTCTCACTTAAATCTACTCTTAACTGGAATTAATTCCTCCAGAAAACATAATACAGTACAGATGTCAGTAATTAATTAATTGTATTAAACATAATACAGTACAGATGTCCACCCATCCAAAATGGTGAGGTTTGGAAATCAGCTCGACCCAAATATCACAGACCAGTTCCTCAGATGATTTGAACTGGCACTGCTCCACCCATACACCCATACACAAGCTGGTCCTTCACACCCAAAAGCATCCTTGTATTTGCAAGGTTGAAAACTTTCTGATTTTTCTCCCACATGCACAACATGTTAAGATATCAAAAATATGCATTAAAAAAAAAATAAATCTCTTGTGGATCATTCCAAAGCTATCCTCAAAAAACCTCAAATTGGTTAAACTCAAGCTAAAGAGTTCTTTCTGCCTTTGCAAAAGAGGATAGAGAAAATTCTGCATCATGAAGGTTCTGTTGCACGGCTGAGTTTTTCAAAAGTGGTGCTAAGAGAAATAGATGCCCTGGAAATCCATTTTGTCACTGGGTGTTCAAGCAACTGCCTTCAAAAATATTTATCCTTATCGCATAGTCCCAGGAGTTTCTCTATAACAGCAGAACTAGTGCCAAGAATACATAATCTTTCTGCTGCTTTATCAATAGATGGCAGTGGATACATTTGCGTGGTTCATCAGCTGCTGCATTGCTGGAAGATGCGTAGCACAAAAAACATCAAAGTGGGCTGTTTTCTGATGTAAAGTCACACCAGCATGACTGAAAAATATGCACACTCAGTATCTTTTGGCTGTGGATGGGCAGGTCTAGTAGCAAGACTTTTGAGCAACTGCTGTAATCGAGGCTTATATAAAAGAGTCCATGTGTCAACATCCACTGCTTTGTAGCATCACCTCTTTCAAAAAAAAACAAAAAACCAGCAGCCCTGATGAGTTTTTAGGCCACATTCAACCCTTAGGATCTCTGGTACAGCTCTGAAATTTTGGTTACTAAGCTGTTCAGAAAACCTTCTAAACAAGCAGAATGGAGCCCTGAAAATTCAACTTCAGTGACTGTCTCTGTGGATGAAGGAACTACAGACGAATGCTGCTCTAAGCAGAAGGAGCTATTTCACTCTCTGTATTGCAGCACAGCTTATACAGGATGCACAAAATACAAAACTGTCCCAGTTCAGGCCAGATCAGTTCCCTAAATCTAGAATTTGATTAGTTTTAAGGAAATTATATTACCTTATTCTTTGAGTCTGTAGAACAACAGAAAACTACCACGCTGTAACGCATGTAAATAGTCACAGCCATGGATCCCTAAACAGCTGATGGGCCAAACTCCTCCAAGGATTTTATTAAAGCTGCTCAAGCAGAAGTTCCCTGTAGATCTGCTCTTTTCAGGCTGCTGAGCCCAGAAAGCAGTGATAATGCCCAATTCTCTGCAGTATCAGCCTCATCCTTGGATGCTGGGATTTGGTCTTTGCCCTTGACATACCCAAGTTTTGCCACTGCCTTCAGCTGTGTGTAGTTTCCAGGGTCTGTGCATCTTGAGTGGGGGGGTGAAGCAGTTACCATAACACATTCTCTACAATAGACTTGCTGTCTTTGCTTCTGTGACCATCTCAAAAATGTTTTGTTCCCTTCTGCAGCCCAGTCCTTGCAGTGCTACACATGCAAGGAGCCAATGGACATTTCCAAGTGCAGAACACCCACAGAATGTCCCCCGAGAGCCAAGGTGTGCACAACAACTCTGCACTCTGTAGACTTAGGTAAGTCTCATTGCTTTCTTTGAATGGTGCTAGAACACTAAGGTCATTAAGCCTAGTTCTACCCATCCACACCATGTTCACTAAACCATGTCCCTCTGTGCCATATCTCCATGTTTCTTGAACACCTCCAGAAACAGCAACTCCATCACTTCCCTGGGTACCCTGTTCCACTACCTTACCACTCCTTCTGGAAGAAATTTTTCCTGATATCCATTGCATCCAATATCCAATATCTTGGAGCAAGATGAATCCTTTGTGAACTGAATAATCTTACAAACTTCCTCCATGCTTCCCTCTCCCCAGCTTGGGTTATTCTTTACTTCTCTGCAAGAATCATTGCGGGGTTATCCAGGGTAAGAAGGAGAAAAGTCCACTGAACTCAGAGCTTCATAGTGAAGCACACAGAACTCAATCCACTTACTCTGTTATGCCTTTCCTACTCCTATGCATTACAGATCCTGAAATGTCAGATGTGTGAAAACATATTGCAGAAGCACAAGGACTCCTTGTTTGTAGACATTCTCGCTTAGCACCAGTGAGAAAAAAACAACTTCAGCATGCCAGTATTATACCAGTGCTTCTTGACATTTCCATTTCCTATGCAAAACTATTGCAGGAGCAACCCACCTGAACAAAACATGCAGAAACTTGTGTTATTTGTTTGCACTAGAATAAATTTGGAAGGAACAGAAAGGAGAGTGGGAGGCAGCAGGGAAATCCAGGGGACCTGCTCCTTAAAGAGCAGTTTGGATTACAGGTACAAGAATATTAAAGATGGTGCCCCCTTTATTTGTCTTTGTTGACCTATAAACACTGTGCCTTCAAGTTCTGTCCATTCGACAAAGGCAGCGTTGCTCAAAGCCAGATGTTTGTATTTCCCTTCACCATTTTGTTCTCTCTTCTACTTCTCCAATGCATCCATTCCAGGTTACCCGTTTTTTGGCAACATCACCGTCACAAGAAGCTGTGAAGAGGAGTGTGTCACCTATGAAGGGATAGGGTCAAATAGACCAACAACATGCTGCTACACTGACCTCTGCACTGAAGACACCAGGAGCAGCAAGGGGGAGAGAAGCAGCTCTGCAGCGCTGGGTGTGATGGCCATGATTTTTGGCACACTCCTCCAGTGTGTTCTGTGATGTTGATGGGTATCTGTGCTCCAGTCAAAGCATTCTCACTCCTCTCTCTGCCAAGATGTGAACTTTGAGATACCCTGGGAAAACTTCTTCACTCAAGTGTGTCTTCACCCATCTTCAGCGCTATGAATTCAATGGGATTCAAGCCAAAAGTTTGGGCATTCAGAACTAAAATCCTCAAATTTCCACTTTCCAGCTGATATAAACAGATGTTCTTCACCTATGGTTGCTTCTGTTTCCCAGAATCCACATCTCACCTTGCAGCTTTCTTCACTGGGGAGCAGAGGTGGATAAAGAGAGTGGTGGCTCTGAGCAGCATGAGGGACTGGGCTGTGACACTGGGCTTGAGCAAGAGCAGGGGCTGTACTTGTATGTGTATTGTACACAACGGATATCCCCAGCTCCCACACAGTGTACATCTGTGACAATAACCTAATGCAAAATCCCCAAAATACCTGCAACTCTTCATCGGGATCTTCCTTTACTTTCTTTCCACACTGGGTGCTATCTCCTGAGCCAGATGGATGTTGCAACCTTCCCAGTACTCAACAAAGCGCAGTATGCAATTGGAGGGAGCTGGCTCTTAAATCTGTCCAGAATGTTATGGAATGGGTTCAGAAGGGCTCAGCCTTCACGCATGGACATGATTCTGAAAAGCTCAAAAGATGTTCAGGATGAAGCACTCAAGGCTAGTTAAACTGATAAAAGCAAGTCAAGGAGTTTGAGCAGAACAAACTCCCATCAGCCCTTTGCCTGAGCTCAGGTTGCAATCATAGTCCCTGGCTTTCTCCTTCCAGATGTTTCACAGACTGTTCCTAGCAATTTCTCCTATTACTCTGTCCTTCCCCATTCTTTCTCAGCAGGGATGATGGGAAAGGAAAAGCAATGACTATTTCAGACCTCAGCTTTGGGAAAAATCGGAGGCTCCACTCAGTGCTGGGGATTTGCTCCAATTCTCCCTTGGAGCAACACAATAATTTGGTTTTGATGCTTTGACTACTGTAAAAACAGGAGCGGGAGCAGATCCAAACAAGTTAGGCATGCCCAGCTTATAGATCTTTTTGGGAAGGGAAAGCTGAGGAACAAGCATTTCTCACTAGTCTTATTCCTTGGCTCATTCAAGGAATGAAAGAGGCAAAGGGCAGCATGAGTACATCCCATGAACTGTCCTAACACATTCATAATGTTTCTGCCATGTCCTTTGTGGCAAACTCAGTTTTTACTCTATCTCCATAACATACATCTAGGAAAAAAACATCATCCAGGAAAATCTAAGAGTAAGAAGGGGGCTTTCTGGATGAGAACCCAGTGAATAAAGTTGGATCCTCCAGTTTTCAGCCTGCAGTGTCTTTCTTGTTTGCTCAGCATGTCTTTGGAAAATTTCCTGCACATCAAGGTCTGGATAAGTAGAGAAGTGCCAGGGAGGGAGAGAACTACAAAAGAGGACAAACAGAGGAGGAGAGAAACACTCCTTGCAAGAGCTAGATTAAAGGCTGATGGGAGAGGAGGGGGAGAAGGGCAGTAGAAGGGTAAAAGACAATGAATGGTTACAGAATGCTTATTTAGGGCATGCACAGGGAGAAGTGGGATTTTTTTCCTTGTCTTGCAGGAAACATGGGGAAAACAGTTGAACTCAGAGCTGCAACGTGAGTAGGTGGCTGCAAACAAGGATGCTGTGGGTGGGGACCAATGCCTTCCTTGTGCCACTGGTGCTGGTGGTGAGCATCCTGCATCTCACTGCACTGACAATCTCCTGCTTCCTGGGATTTCCCTCATGATGCAGCTCTGTTGCTAAAGCATCAAGCATCTAGTGTGGAAAATAGAGCAAAAAGCTCAAAGCACTTGTAATACATTCCTATATTAGGCAAGTCTTTAGCACAATGTGTCAGAGGTGCAAAATTTCACAGCAATATTCATCCGTTCATGCTCTGCTGGTCCTAAGCCACAGGACGAACAGCTGGAAGCCCTTGCAAAGTTTAATTCACATCAAACTTCTGCTTCTGTTATTGCTTTTATTTATTCTGTCTGCTTTGTCTCTGGGAATTAAACTCAGTGAGAACCACTGCCCCAGTAAAAGCAGAATACTGCTGGGAGATTCAAAGGTATTTGCAGAATTTTGCATCACTGGGTCAAGTGGACATATGGAGGTAAAAGTTTAAATATAGGCTGAATAAAATAGAACAGAGACATAAGTGTCTCTAAAGGGACATAAAAAGATGTGCAGCCCCTCAACATGAGGCTACAGCACTGCTGTAACTGCAGGATTTTACCTGCCCCTCTGCAGGCTTGTCTTCTTTGATTGTTGGACTAGATGATACTAGTTTTAGGTTTTCTCTAACCTTAATGAATCAATGATTCTCAGCAATCACTCTGTGCAGGGACAGGGATATTATCTCTAGGCTTGAGGGCATTCCTTGATGCCTTATGCTTTATCTGGACTAGCAGTTGCTTTTTCCACCATTTTCCAGCAATTCTGCAAATGTGGGGCAGCCCTACAGATGTATGGTCCTTGTTACTCACTTTCAAATCTGGAGGCAAAGTTTTTCATCCATTCAGGAATTAAAGAACAAAGCAAAACAGAGAGTGAAATTTCATGGAGACGTTTGAATATCCAGTTGCTGGGGGTACTCAAACTTGTATACTCAGCTGAGTCTTGCCTCCAGCCAACTGTCAGTGCTATATGTTGTTTGCCTTGGTGGCCTTTCATTGTGGTTTCCATGACTCAAAGGTGGAGTGAACACTTCAGAGATTTCTTCATCTTATGGAAACACAGTGTACACACAAACCTGGCTTGAGCTGAATCAGCAGTGCAGCTCCGTGGCAACCTGTTCGTCTTAGTCCCAGAATCACAAGGGGAAGACAGCAGAGTCACTGATGTCATTTAGCTGGAATTCAGTAAGGCCTATGACACGGTTCCCCATAACATCCTTCTCTCCAAATTGGAAAGATTGGATTGGATGGGTGGTCTGTTCAATGGGTGATGAACCGCCTGCAGATTCGAAGCCAGAGAGTGGTGGCCAATTGCTCAATGCCTGGATGGAGATCAGTGACAAGTGGCGTCCCACAGGGGTCAGTACTGAGACTGATGCTCTTTAACATCTTCATCAGTGACATCAACAATGGGATTGAGTGCACTCTCAGGAAGTTTGATGACACCAAGCTGTGGGGTCCAGTCAACCTGTCCAAACAATGGGATGCCATCCAGTGAGAACTAGACAGTCTGAGCAGTGGGCCCAGGAAAACCTCATGTGGTTCAACAAAGCTAATTGCCAAAGTCTTGCACTTGGGTCGTGGCAACCCCAGCTGTTTGTACAAGCTGGGGGACAAAAGGATAGAGCACAGCTCTGCCAAAAAGGACCTGAGGGTACTGGTGGATGGGAAGCTGGATGTGAACCAGTAATATGCCCTTGCAGCCAAGAAAGCCAGTCCTATCCTGGGCTGCATCAAAATGAATGTGGCCAGCAGGGTGAGGGAGCTGATCCTCCCCCTCTACTCTGTGCTGTTGAGACCACACCTGGAGTTCTCCTTCTTCCTCCAGATATGGAGTCCTCAGTATATTCGCCTGCTGGAGAAAGTCCAGAGGGGGCTGCAAAAATGATCCAAGGGAGGACAGGCTGAGAGAGCTGGGGCTGTTCAGTCTGAAGAAGAGAAGGCACTGGGGAGACCTGATATTAGCCTTCCAGTATGTAAAGGGGGACTAGAAGAAAGAAGGGGTCAAGCTCTTTAGCAGGGTCTGCTGCGATAGGACAAGGGGAAACCATTTCAAACTAAAGGAGGAGAGATTTAGAAGAGATATAAGGAAGAAGTTTTTTAGGATAAAGTTGGTGAGACACTGGAATGGGTTGCCCAGAGATGTGGTGCATGCCCTGTCCCTGGAGATATTCAAGGTCAGGATGGATGAGGCTCTGAGGATTCTGATCTAGATATAAGTGTCTCTGTTCATTACAAGGGAGTTTGACTAGGTGGTCTTTAGGGATCCATTTCAACTCAAATGACTCCACGATTCTACTTCCTACCCAAACTATGTGATACAGGCTAGAAAATGATATTAACTCTGCACTGCTGGAAAAAAACTACTGGAGAGAACGATTCCAGTATCTCAGTAAGCTGAAATTTGGACTTGTATTCAGTCCTGAAGCTTTGAATCCCACGAAGGCACCAGTGGTGCTGCACAAACACTGTGATTAATACTTAGAGAGCTGTGGTTTCCAGCAGTGATCATTTGCAGTTCCTTTCCACAAGTCACAGCAGGACACTGTTCACATCATGCATAGATGTGAGAGAAGGTAGTTATCCTGGCATGCCCTGATTGCAGCCTGGCTCAAGCTGCAAGGTGGGAAACACCAGGAGATGTTTTGCTGCTTGATCTCTTTTAATTTGATGTATTTTTTCTTCCTAGGGAAGGAGGGAAAGGGAGAAAAATACACCCATATAACTCTCCTGGAAGGTGCATTAATCCTATTGGGTCTGAAAGTAATAGAGAAGAGACAAGGAGAGAAATAATTGCAAAGCTCCCAGAAAAGGGGGAAAAAGAGGGGATATTTGCACAGTCCAGACATTTAAAATAAAATAGATCTTTGATGTAATCTAATAAAGAAGGAACTTGTAGTTCTTGCTAAAAATACCTATCTAGAACATAAATATACATTAGCACGTAGCTGCAAGGCTTATGTAGTTATCTGCCATAGTCTTATATTTACAGATAGGGATTTAAATGTTTAATACTGCACATTCAAAAGAAAGACACTCCATCTGAAGTAGCTATTAATTATAGAAGGCACTTGGCAGGACTGAAAGAACAGCAGGAGAAATATCATTTTCAATATCATTTCCAAATTATTTCTTATATAAAATCTATCATGTGCTTTTTTTTTTCTTTTTTTTTTTTTTTTGTCTTTCTTAAAATAGATCAGTTTTTCCATATTAGGCCATGGGTGACTTGAAATGGCTGCGTCTTATACACCAGCATGTCCTTTCTTTTTTCAGTACAGCCCCAGGTCTAAGAATAAAGCAAACCCCACCAAAATGAGATTAAAAAATGCTGAATTGGATATGTTGAGGAAGTAGGGAGGCAAGCATCGTGGCTGGTGTCTCAATTCAGCAAAGTCATTTAGGGTCACTTCAAATTCATTAATTCAAGAGGGATGGTCTTGAGTATTGCAGAAGGATTCAATCCTTCTGTGCCCTATCTGAGGCTGGTATGGACCAGTGAGAATGGGTCCTAAACACTTTTGTCAGTTAGCCTCTATTATACATGCATGGATGGTATGGGGTATGACCCATGTCATACATGGATACCTCCAAACAAGGAACTGCAATAATTATTCAGTGAGGACTTAGATTTAAGCAAATTCCTCTTGACCATTTTGATGAAATCGTTGCAAATCCATGAAATTAAAGCAAATTGAATGTCCTGGTGTATTAAATTCACAGGTTTCAGAACCCAGTCTTCTAAAACACTCCAGGCTCCTTTTTTAGCCAGCACGTCTCTCAGACCAAAGGGTGACAGTAATCTTCACAATGAACTCCTTCCTATTGCAAGAGCAATTTGATATGTCTACCAACACCACAACAGAGAGCATTACCCAACTCTTGTTTTAACCCACAACCTTGCCTTGGAGTCATTGATGTTTAAGGAAAGAGACCTCACTTCTACGTTGTTGACACTTGTGACACCTGTGGCGGGAAAATCCCTTCATCTCCTTGCAAAACAAACTGCTTTTGTTCAAAAGTCTGGGAATGGAAGACTGCTTGGAAAAGGAGGAGAGATATGAAGGTGCTTTGGTTTTAGCATTTGCTTCTCCAGTGCCTTTGGACTTCCAGCAAGATGTGTAAGGAGCAACTTTGAATATCTGGGAGAAGTTTTCCACCTTCTTTGAGTCCAGCTGCTATGCACGCACCTCCATTACTCAACTGGTGTCCTTATAAACCTGGGATAAAAGCAAGCTGGAATTTGTTTTTCTGACTGCTGCCCATCTCCTGGCTCTGAGGAGAGAGGACACAGTGGAACGGATGTTTTCACTGTAAAGATGTTTGTATGGTGTTCCTCATGCATAGGGAGCCAGTCTAGGTGCTTTTACTGCTAATTTCAAGGAGTGCATCCAAAGGCTCTCAAGCTAATAAGAATCAGCCCCCTATACTTATTTATTGTTATCACTTCTTTACAGAAAAAAACTATTCTGAAATACATTCATGTTTGTTACACTGCTGACAGAAGCCATTCCAAATTCTCCCTTTCCTGTTGGAAAACGCATTTGTAA